GACTATGGTTTGATAGTCATACCACATTAAATTAGTGTTACTGCTTCATCTTCTAAAAATAAAGAAGTGTCTTGACACCTCTTCTCTCAAAGTGTAGCCATGAGCTTCCCATTCTGGATCAATTGGCCTTAAGTGTGGATTATTTTAGCGATCCACACTTCTTTTTCTTCTGCTGTTACTAAGAACAGATGGAAGGAACCTAAAGACTGCCTTTTTTAGGCTAGAATCCAGAACTACTTCCTATTATCTCATAATGATCATTTTAATAGATGAATTGGACCAAATAATCAGGACATGTTAATATCTAAGAAGGGGAGATTTAAAAAAATCAGACAGTTTTTGTGAGATAAGTGGTTTTGGTTAACAATTGTGTGTTACTTCTCAGGGGGAAAAAATCAATTACTTTAAAAATGTAGAAGTTGTAAAGATGTTCCCTTTCAAGTGCCTCTTGTAATACTGAATGTGCTCTGCTTCATTAGAAAATGAATCTCATGCAGCACTCAGATACTGTGACTCTGGCAGTAGGTAAAGAAGTGACAGGATATATAATCGTATCTGGGAACAGCTATGATGCGATTGTGAGAGTGGAAGTGTATCAAGGTATTTCTTGCTTTTTAGCAAATTATGGGAAGTATTATGCAGCAGGTTTACATTAATTTAGAAGTGAGAGTTCACACAAATGTATCTACAAACTATATTTATACATTAAGAGGAAGGTGAACATTAAAAAAACCCTCCCAATTTTCTGTCAAAAAGTGGATAATGTATTCCTTCTATTCTGTACATAAACTCAGTCTGTTAGATCAGCATCTCATCTCTGCAAGATCTTCACCATTTCCTCCTCCACCCCCTTCCAAACCCAGGTCTATTTCACATGATGGAAGGCAACAAAATAGTCCCAGCACTCTAAAATTCATCAGTATGAGTCTCAACATATCAATTTTAAAGAACGACCTTAACCATATGCCAAGCTTTTAGTTTCCCTTGAAAATAATACTTCTATTGTTTCCAAAGGAAACTCTAAGTACCCCAAATTGCCATGCTTTTAACACAGTGACATGTTGATGGCCTGATGGTTTTTCAAGCTCAAAGTCTGACTGACAGGAGTCAGAGTGGTTTAGAGGAACACTAGAAACATAGCATTTTATATTTTGCAAGAATTATTATAGCAACAAAAATGACAAGGTGACTTTCTAATTCTGTAAGTTTGCTAAGGAAAGAACTGAAAGCAAATTGAACCAGCAAGTGCTTTCGCTGCTACAACTAAGCACCAAAAAGGATCTAGAGTGTTGATTCTAACTGTAGAAAGCGTAATTCTGCATTTATACTGTTCAGACCCCTGACCCACTATTTCTGAGTACCTCAATTTTATACAGGCTAAATACCAATCATATAACTTTTAGGTTTAGGGAATTTTGAAAAATTATACACGGTGCTGACAAGGTTTTGACACAAGGTGCTGATGCTTGCAGAACACAATGCAACAACATGAATAACCTCATATAAGGTTAGCAGAATTGACAAAACTATTCCTAGTAAGAAACTCCAGAAAAAAAGATTTTGATCGAATCAATACTTTTGCTTGCTCAGGGCATATGTGCAACAGTTCCTAATTCAAAGTTATTGCAAATGGAAAGTGTTACACAGCTGTGAAAGCATAATATTGTATGAATTATAATAGTAAAACTATATTTTCTTCTGCAGAAATAGTGCTTTCATATTTTTAAATCTTCCCTTTTACTACTCCCTGTAACTACTTTTTAATCTTGTGTTCTTGCATTTAATTTTCTCCAATATTCAAAATCAGTGCATTACTATTATAACCAACTAATACTATTTCAATACTATTGAAATAGAGTACAAGAATTAATACCTATTTCACAGATACAAGATGGCATAAAGTCAACTTTTCCAGCCTCACTACCATCAAGTAAAGTGATTTCCTAGAAAGTGTTCATAAATAAGTACACACATATTTTGAAAGAAAGCCATATACATTATAGACCTGACAAAAACATTTGTAGGAGCCCTTTGTGGAGTATGATGGTGTAAATCAGTGGTTCTCAACCTTTTTAATGCCGCGACCAACCGGTTGTAAGTCGAGGACTTTCCATGCCCGGGAGCGCCGCGCATGCGTGATTCCACCCCCTGCGCTGGCCGAGGCGTAGCTGGCAAGCGGCAGAGATGGAGCAGGCTGACCACCAGCTGGCCCAGCCCAAGGGAGGTAAGGCACCCGCCGGAAAAGGGGAAAAAAATGGTGGACAAAAAAATGGTGGACAAAAAAAAATGGCGGACAGCCTTGCTTGGCGACCCCCGTGAAATGGTCGATCGACCCCAAATGGGGTCCCGACCCACAGGTTGAGAACCACTGGTGTAAATGTAATGTCCTATCTCAAAGTGCTGGAGCAGAGTCTCAAGATCTGAGAATATGCAGCTTTCTCAGGTTGCCTTTGCATATATTTTAACCATGATAAGAATGGAAACATGATGGAAGTTGTTGATTTATTTCATTCTGAGCAAAACAAATTGATATATTAGTTTGTTACTACTGGCAAAATATGCCATCTTCAAAACTTGCTGCATAGCTTAAAAACACATTACAAATACTAAAATTCAAGGAATTTAGGTTTATTTATCTCCAAGTATATTTTACTATGCAATTCAATCATGAAGAAATTCTTATGAAAAGAATAGAAGATTGCAGCCATCCATAGTAGATCTATAGCTGAACTACAAGTCCCTGTGTCCTTCCCAATGACTATGGCTGGGAAAGATGGGAGTTGTATTTCAGAAGCCTGTGGTATTTCACAAATTTTGCATCCTTGCCTTAAAAGAGAACTTGGAATTTTCTTTGTTTTAAACAAAAATTGCATGGCTATCCATCTTAAAACAACTGTGTGGTTTTCAACAATAAAACTAAAACTATAAAAACATATAAAAAACTAAAAATCTGTAACCTTGACCAGCCCCCAAAACTCTCTGCGGATTCTATCATTCTACATCAGTGCCTTAATTCTTATCTTCTCTTACTGAGGGCCAATTAAAATATTAGCATACCATCTGCAACTTGATAAAAATGCATCCATGTGATGGTGCATTTCACTTTTGGGACAAATATTTATAAACTCACTTAGCTCTTTACTAGATGTTGCTCTAATCCTGTGTACATTTTCTATATCAAGGGGTTGCTAGCATTGATCAATCTGACTGGTATGGCTCATAATAAAATTACTTCCAAGTCTGAATACTGAACATAGAGGTATTTCAGTATCTTCCAGAAGAGGGCAGAAAATATATTTCAATCATTTCCTTTTTACAAAGTTATAAATGAAACATATAGACAATTTAAATTTATCAAATATGTTTAAAAGCAAAAGTGATGAAAAAGTGCTATCTGAATGCTAATCACAACAAAATTGAATAGAATTTAACTTCATCCTTTATTCTCTCTGTCTAGATTTCTACAGGAAATTCAGACAAATTATCTGGAATCCCAATCACCTCCTATTTAATATTATTATTAAAACTATTTTTATTTCTGAACTTTGCTCTTTAACAGCTACTGACATAAATATCCATAGACATCAAATTTAGTTTGTGATTTGTATCAGACAAAATAAGAGAACATTGAAATACTGTACAGTTTTACCTAGAACAAGTCTAATCATATTTATTAGGGATATTTTTGACAGAATTAATATAAAAGTGCAAAACAAAGTCCAAGGGAGAGGTAATGGTGCTACCCCCAATTTTCTATTAAAAATATTACTATGCAGTCTGAATAATATTTCTTTAGTTCCCTCACATATATTTTCACATATATTTTGGTGTTTTCGTTCCATTTTTCTCAATAAATGTACCAGAAACAAAATGCACTGCTATGATAAGCTTGCCAGGTACCATGTTTGCACATCATTGATACCTCGAAGAATATTCTTACTATGTAATCAAATGATGATTTGAACAAAGGAAGCAATAGAAGTTGCAGATTTATGGCTGTCATTACAATTATGGAGGAAGAATACCAAAATGTCTTGTTATTGTATACTTAAAGAAACTATCAGAATAAGACAATAGTATAATACACAAGTTGTTTCAAAAATAAACAATGCAGTGTAACAACGAAAGACTACAGAGGTAAAAGAAGAAAGTTACATAAGTGTTTTATGTAACTTGAATTTATATGAGAGTACCTATTATATGGATAATAAAACATGGAATATAATAGGAAGAAAATGGAAGGTATATTTTGACATGATTCAGAAATAAGAATGAGAGAAGGAATATAACATTATATTCAACTTGGAATATATGCCAAGTTATTTTCAATATTCACAGAGTCTTACTACACTATTATTTTTACAGTCATTTTATAATATATAGAAGGGATAGAAATCAGATATTAGCTATGAATAACTAATCAAATCACGAACATTCAAAGTTTATATATTGCATTTATCATTTTGATCCCATCTTCTTTTATTTAGAAATCATATAGTATTACTTCCTCAAATGTTATCCTTTCAACAACAACAACAACAACAACAACAACAACAAGGAAGTTAATCTGAGAGACAGTGAGCATTTGCTTCTAGTTGTCTAGTTAATTTCCACAGCAGAGTGTTGACTTGGACTTAAGATTTTTTTTTTTGGGTACTAAACCAATTCCCTAACCATTATATACTACATAGGATTGAATCTTAAAGTAGCTGGCAGTGAGCTCTGCTACTATAAGAACCATTGTCTGATTTATCAGAAATGTGTAGCTAACTTTCCTTTTGCCATGAATATAATTTAGCTAAATAGAACAAAATTATGGCATTGCCCCTTAAGCAGTGTATTTCTGTTATTTCATTTTAAAAATCCAGTCCTTCTCCTCTCAGTATAAAGAGAACATGATTTTAGAAATACTCTTTTGGTTTTGCATGAGAAAGAGCCCAGTGGACTGACATGACATTATTCAACAGATCATGTGTGATTTCTTGAAAGATGGGACTTACCTATGAAATAGGCCAACAGTATAGCAAGCAAGATTGCAGCAGCGATAGCTGATAAAGCAGCACACTTCCAGCTACAGTATTTAGAGGGCTTTTTCAGCTTGAATGCATTTCTGGAGAAAGTATTTCTAGGTAACAGTCGGGGAGGTGGTGTGTAAACTGTTCCTGAGGTCAATGGGTATCCAGGGGAAGAACTACTGAAGAGAGGAGTTGTTCCAGATGATGTCTTGAACAAAAAATGCCTGAAAGGAAGATAAATAGATCATAGTTAACAGATGTAACACAGCCAAATAATTCATTTATTTGGAAATACAAAGTAAACTAATAACACACATGACAAAGAAAGCAAGCTTCTGTTTGCTCAACATTTAATTTTAATTGTAGAACCAAGTGTTGACAATATTTCTCCTTCATACATCTTGCTCAGGTAAAACAAACAAACCATATTACCATCAGTTATGATTAAACCATAATGGATGCTTCACAATGTGGCCTAATGATTTAGCATTATGTGAAAACCAGGCCAATGATGTGAACAAACTAGAAAAAAATCAAGTTGCTTGATAGTGATATGAATCCAATTTAAGGGTCTTGATTAATGTTTTAACCTTAGTAACAATACTATTCTTCCTTCAAATACCAGCTCATACAGAAAAATCATGACTTGAAACACACTCAGGCTTAAATTTCCCAAGGAAAAGGACAGCAACATAAAATAACAACTGAAAATACATAATGTACTGTATATGCTTGTGAGATTCATACTTGTGGAACAAATGATAATGTAAAAAGTTCATCTCTGTCACATGGGACAATGGGAAGCCTGGTTGTTTTTTAAATACAATTCAGAGCATTAGAAGCTAAATCTACCATCTTTAATTATACTCTCAAGGCTAATAGAAGTCTTATAAACCTTAATACAAAATAAGTTCAGACTCTGGAAAATCAGTAATGTCTTATTAATGGTCCATCCAACCAAGAAACCATAGAACTTTGTACCATTTTCAGGGCTGAACATGGCTCAGAACCAACAAGCTATGTGCAGAACATTAAAGGGATTAAAATGTAATGTTATAAAAACTTAAATTTTTATGCAAAGGTGAGAAGACTTTGCTACATAGTGAAAATCTATTAGCAATATAATGGGAATAGTGATGATGACGATGAGGAGGATGTGGTGATAGTGATGGTGATGGCTTTGGTGATTGATGTTTTCTAATTTACTCAGTAAACTTGCACTTAAATTGTCAACTATTCCCAATCAGAGCTAGTGGAAAAGTTTTGCACCAAAAATAAATAAACAAAACAAAAAGCCTTAAAAAAAAACCTCACAACAGATATGTTACTATCATAGAAAGCTTATTTATACATTTTTCTTAATAGTTTACACAAAATGAAATCCAAACTTAATATTAAATTTAATATTAATTTTATATTATATTAATATTAATTTTAATATTAATATTAAAAATGTTATTCTGCTGCTAGGTGACGTCAAAATGATGAAACATACTTTGTGATGTCACAGCAAAAGCTCTCCCCTTTTATATCTGTGGTACAGTGTGGCACAATAATTCTATGGCTTATCTCTCCCTAGCAAAACACAAGTCACTTCAAAGAGGACTGATGTATGACTATCTGCCAATTCAAAAAACAAACAAACAAAACAACCCATAAAATGACAAGGTTTTTCTGCCCTTATCACCACAACATAATTTCTAATATGGGCTCTTGCTCATGCATGGTTGAATCCAGTCTTGTTCCTCCAAAGACACTCTTAAGTCTCTCTTCTGGTGGTTCATATCCCAAAGTTCCTCAGACAACAAAGAACACTACAGGATCAACCCACAATGAGAGGCTTCAGAGGAGCTTCTGCTTCAAGCTCCTTAATAAATGTCTATTCCAGGCAGTGTCCAAGGTCTGTCTACCCATCCTTGGGGAAAAACACCAAGATCTCTTTGAAACCCCATAGGGTCCATTAGTTGCCTAGGGCAGACCACCCTATCTCCTTGGGCACTGGAAGTTACAAAATGACCAGAGAACTGAAGGTGATATCATCCAATCTCAGTTTCTATCTCAACTGACCCAAGACAAAAAATAGGTTGTTTTCTTCTTGAAACAACTGCAGAAAACTCAGTTTTTCAAACTGGACCTCCTATTAACTTTTTTTTTTTTTTGCTTTGCAAGAGGGGACTTCCCAATGGCATTAAAAGAGATTATGGTCCACCTATTTCTGAAAAAGCCGTGACCAGATCTAATGGTGATTAGCCACCTCCAATCCCACTTTGTTGATGAGAGACAGCAGACTGAAGTTGAACACTAATATGTCAGAGTTGCCATATTTAACTTTTATTTTTGTTGTTTCTTATGTTTGGCTAATGTTTTTATTTTTTGCAAACTGAGTGTTCAACTCTACAATATTTTTTGCTATAATTCTTAATATAAGAATTTAAGGGTTTTTTAAAAAAAAAACAAATTGGGGAAAAAAAGCAACAAACAGCATATTCACTATAATTTTCTCTGACTAAATGTAAAAACAACCATGACAAAGTTCTACAATAAGAATTTCAGAAGGAGGAATCTGTAAACAGAATAAAAAGCTAAAGATCACAGTTTTTCTCCAGGTACAAATAAGAGCCAAAAGTGACAAAGTTACTACTATCTTAAAACCACATTGAGTGAATCTGAGTTCATTGAAAATAATTTTTTTTTAAAAAATGTACGCCTGTGGCTGTTCATTTGTTATAGCTCTTCTTTACAGAGAACATCTTGACAGTGCTGAATTGAGCAAGACCTTATGTTTGCTGAAATGTGGTGCTAATTGTTGACTCTCTGTGAAATCAGGAGCCAGTCATACAAATTGTACTTTTCTATTCTTCTGTCATCTTCTTCTCTCTAAACTGTGTCTAGTTTTCTAGTAAGCTACTATTTGACATTACAAACCCACTGTACTGTGTTTTTCGGCCGTACATCATATTTTCAATTTCAAATTAATTTCATTCACCTTTGGTATCAAAAACAGCTGAAATAAATATAGGAAAACCAACTGATTCTTAACTTATCTTAGACAAAGGTTCTTCTGATCATTCAAAGGGAACTCTGTTGTATGTTATTCTGGGTATAAATGTAATGTATAAAGAAATACTTTGTGTTGAATTAGCTTGCAGTTCTCTGTGAAATGTGCAATAAATCAGGTATTTTCACAATGTGGGAGAAGGAACCAATTTCTAAACAGCCAGACCACACAGAAATGGTTCAGCCCAAACACCTGCTCTAAAAGAGAAGTCAAGGACCCAACCAAGAAGAAAGAGAAAGAAAAAAAATTGCCATACTTAATTGCCACAGATACACACACACTTTTTCCTAGTCTTGAATACACTGAAGCTCCCTACAACTATATTTTCCTATGAACAAAGACAAAACCCACAACAAGAAGTTAGATAATAAGCAGTAGATTACTTGGCAGAATTGCCTAATACTAGGATGCTGTATACCATGAAAATGATTCAGAAAGTGTTTGATTAAAAAGCCTGTCAATAATTGAGCTTTTTTAAAAACAGGAGAAAGATGCTGTGTTCACACAAGGTCTGTACCGTTTTCAAAGTGTGCACAGCTTTCTTAAACTCCACAACCATTTTCCCACAAATGGACCCAGTGTTATTCAGGTACTTGCAGAATTGTTTAAACGGGGATTTGTTGACTAAAAATACATATGAGCAGGAACAGATTTTTCTTAAATGAGCAAAAACATATTGCTTTTCCTTAATCTTTTAATTTTCAGAAGTACTAGAAACTTTCCATAGAGCTAGGAAATAGCTCTTTCTTTTTTACGTTTAAGAAATCTGAAAAATATGGCCTACTGGACCAGGGCTCCCTCACTTTCAGACTTCCATGGATGCATTTCCTTTGTCCACAAGCATTTGCCATAGATGCAGACAGACCGATTTGCAGCCCTTTTTGGGCAGGAGCATATAACCTATATTCAAGTGATTGTTCATGGTTTAGTAGCCAAAAATGTCATTAGGCAGAGAAACAATAATTCAGATTCAACACAAAAATATCAAAATAATGACACGAGACATCTACTCAGGAACATTTTGAAGCTTTTCATGAACAATTGCCTTTTTTAAAAAGCATTAACAATTCTCCAATGGTTAAATTGTAGTTACCTAGTTTCTAGAGACAAACCTTTTTTTCTAATCAATGCAAGTGTTCAGTCAAACTGTTGTGTGTTAAATACCTGAACAGTTGCTTATTGGCATCTTGGATTTCGTAACATGGACACAGTTGGACACATAGAAGCACCATGTTTGATCAATGTCTGACAAGAAAAAATGACATGTTAGACTTAAAAGCAGGTGTCAGCCTTTAGGCACACTGTTCTATAAAAGCATTAAGCTGAACCTAAAGCAACCATGTGCAGGTAAAGCAGGTAAAGATGCAATACAACTCCTGCTGTAGCATCAAATAATTAAGGAACAATAATATATTTAGAGCCCTACTTTATTTTCTGTAGCAATGCTGTGTTTTCTTTACAATCAGGGAAAAACATGAGGATCAGAAAAGTTTGCCGAACAATCCGCAAACAATAACTCCAACACAGCCAACCAACCCACCTACAGCAACTAAGCCAGCACTCCACATACCCCCACCAATATTTATAGAGAGACGGCAGCTCCGATCACACTTTGCTCGCACAAGCATGAAGCCAAAGACCCCACCCTGAAGATGACGAGTGGGACCTCGTCGAAACGTCACCAAGATACTCTCAATCTTACATGGGAAAAGACCTGAATACGCCAAGACCTGCATACCTATACCCGTGAAAATCTACAAAACATCTCTCTCTATATATCTATATATCTATATCTATATCTATATCTATATCTATATCTATATCTATATCTATATCTATATCTATATCTATATCTATCTATCTATCTATCTATCTATCTATCTATCATCTAGATAGATAGATAGATAGATAGATAGATAGATAGATAGATAGATAGATAGATAGATAGATAGATAGATAAGACAGTCAGACAGACATGCAGATAAACGTGCAGACAGAAATGAAGAGAGAGAGAGAGAGAGAGAGAGAGAGAGACAGACAGACAGACAGACAGACAGACAGACAGACAGACAGACAGACAGACAGAGACAGAGACAGAGAGAGAGAGATAGAGAGATTTTTTTATCCATAAGAATATTAACAGGCTGATACCTCATACTGCTTTTG